TGGGCCCAGTGCCTGGGTTCTGGACCCACTGCCTGGGTTCCGGGCCCTCTGCCTGGGTTCTGGGCCCTCTGCCTGGGTTCTGGGGCCTGCTACCTGGGTTCTGTGACTGCTGCCTGGGTTCTGGGCCCAGTGTCTGGGTTCTGGACCCACTGCCTGTGTTCTGTGTCCGCTGCCTGGGTTCTGGGCCTGCTGCCTATGTTCTGGGCCCACTGCCTGGGTTCTGCAGCCTGCTGCCTGGGTTCTGTGCCTGCTGCCTGGGTTCTGGAGCTGCTACCTGGGTTCTGGGCCCACTGCCTGGGTTCTGGGGCCACTTCCTGGGTTCTGGGCCTGCTGCCTGGGTTCTGTTCCTGCTGCCTGGGTTCTGGGCCCACTGCCTGGGTTCTGAGCCCACTGCCTGGGTTCTGGGCCCACTGCCCGAGTTCTGGGGCTGCTGCTTGGGTTCTGTGCCTGTTGCCTGGGTCTGGGGCCTGCTGCCTGGGTTCTGGGCCTGCTGTCTGGGTACTGTGCCTGTCGCCTGGGTTCTGGGCCCACCACCAGGGTACTGGACCAGCTGCCTGGGTTGTGGGTCTCTGTGAGCTCAGGTGGGTGTGAGGTTGTGAGGTCGAGGGAGAGAGGAAACACCCCCCTCCCAGATGGCAGTCCTGCTCCTGGAGAGGACAAGCGGCTTCCTTTCCACCTGTCCTGCTTCCAGCAGCCACCACCTTCTCAGGCCTCACTGTGGGTACTCACTGTGAGCTCCCACTAGGGCTCACTGCTCTTGCAGGCCTGATAAGAAACCCCTGTGGGCTGCCCAGGCCCAGGGCTGAGGCAGCACTGGAGGGGGTGGTGGACGTTGGGGAGGGGTCAGCAGCACCTCCTGACCCGTGTGGCTAGGTGCACACCACCTCCGTTTGTTCTCATACCCCGTGAGAGGGGCACCACTGCTGTCCAGAGGCCCCCTGGGAGGATTCAAGCTCCGAACGCATGGAAGTGGTGGGGCTGGGATTCTTAGCTCTTCACCAGACGGCCATCCCGGCTCGCCCTGGACCCCAGGGCGCCGTGGACTGCCGGGGGGCGGGGGGATGCCCGCCCCCGCTCCCGCCCCCCTCCCGCCCCTGGAGTCCCCATCCAACAAGCTGGGGTCTCATGAGAGTCCGCCCCGCCCACCCTGCGAGTCCTGCCCTCTCCTCTCCGCTCACGCCCGCCCACCTCCTATTGACCTTGCGGCCCTCCACCTCCTGAGCCTCGCTTTCCTGCATGTGCCTGTGGCACCCTCCCGTGCAGCCAGCGCCCATCAGTGTCCCCTGAGGCTGTGGCCGCTGACCCTCGTCCTGCAAAGACCCGGCCGGGGTGCAGGCATGCCCGCTCTGCGCTCACAGGCTCAGCCGCCACCCCAACCCATCAGACGCTCGGGATGCTGCGAACTGCTCAGGGAGTCGGGGTGCGCTGCAGGAGCTCCAGGTGCTGGGGCCAGCGCGCCACCTGGTGGCCACTGGAGCACCAGGCATTGGGAGGAGCTTTCGAAGAGAGAATTGCCTTCCGCGGACTGTGACCGGGTTCCAGCCACCCTGTGCCCCTCTGTGCCCCATTCGCGGAAGAGTGGCAGAGAGCAGATGGGCAGGGACGCACAGGCAGGAGACCCACCCCTATTTCCGGGTGTGGAAGCTGAGGCTCGGAGAGGGGGGTAACTCCTTGCCTGCCCCACAACAAGCCGGGGCTCAGCTGCGATTCGAGTCCCAGGCCAGGGGGCAGGGGCACCCTGTTCTGGGTGTAGGGGGTTCCCTGGAACAGGAAGAGCGGTGCTCTGTGCACAGTCCGCAGGGAGGAATGTGCCTGGTGAGACCAGCAACCAGGAAAGCAGGGGTGTGGCCAGCAAACTCCAGGATGGAACAAGGGGGGACCCCACCTGAGGGGCCAGGGAAGGCTTCGACAGGGCCAGCCCGGGCTGCCTGGGTGCGGTGGTGGGCAGGCCCTGGTGAAGGCCCAGAAGTGGGAGAGGGGCTAAGCAATGCTGTCGCTAGGGTTGATGTCACCCAGTGCAGTAACTGATGGTGTCACCCCACCCTCCCATGGACCTCCTCCCATACCAGACCATGCAGAATCATTCGCAATGCTTTTTGTACTAAAGTTACTCATAAATCATAATTTCCACATATCACTCCTTTTCCACGTGATTCGAAGCTCATTATAACTGGGTAATAATGACAGCTCTGATCAGAGTGCACTAGAAGGTTCAAAAAGTAAATGCGCATAGAGTTTTAGCCTTGTAGGTATGTTGATACATGCAAGCTGGGCTTATGAAAAATGTTTTTTTTTGTTATAACCAACCACCGGAATATTTTTATAAAAGAATAAACTTTATGCTGAAACATTGCGCAACCATTTTATACACAGTCATTTGGTGTCATGCCCTCGGACAGTGTCACCCAGCGTGGTCTGCAGCCCCCTCCCCATACCTCCCTAGTGATGCCACTGAGCCTAAGTGGTCCCGGGTGGACCGCAGCCAGAGCTGGCCTCCAGACAGCACAGCAACCGCAGCCAGCAGGTCACAAGGTCATGGGCTCCGGGACAACCTCCCAGGGACTCCCTCGACCCAAGAGCAGTTGCAGCTCCCAGGCCGTCAATGACCCAACCTCCGGCCTCCAGGCCCCAGCCCTGCCTCGGAGCCTCTTGGCTGCAGCCAGACTGTGCTGTCTGAAGATGGCCATGATCAACTGGGCAGCCTGGCCTGCCCTCTCACCTGTCCTAGACCCCTCTGACCCCATTCTGAACCCTGACCCCATGAGTACCGTCTGCAAAGACACAGGGTGACCCCCCCTCTAAGGTTGCGCCTGACCCAGAGACCATGAATGGACGGCAGGGCAACCGTGAAGGAGGCAGCTCCCTTATGCAGCACCCAGAACCTGCACAGTCCGGTGATCTCTGGGGGCAGGTAATGGTGAGAGGTGGGGCCCTGGGGGCCCCTAAAACTTGGACTGCGGGGGTGCCCACCCCATCATGGCATCCAGAGCTCTCTTGGCCCATTTGGGACATTAACAGGAAATTTCTCTCCATTCTTTCATTTTAAAAAAAAAAAGTTTCTATCCAGGTAACTCAGACTCAAGGCAACCCCATGTGCATCAGGGTAAAACTGTGCTCCACAGAGATTTCAATGGCTGATTTCTCAGACGTGGATCACTCTGCCTGTCTTCCGAGGCACCTCTGGGTGGACTCCAAGCGCCAATATTCGATTACCAGCTCAGCGTTCACTGTTTGCAACACCCAGGGTCTTCCCAGCAGCCTCTGCCCACGATTCCACCGCTTCCACTCAGGGGGACCTCGGCTTTGTCTGGGCCCCTACCTGCGCTGTGACTGCTGTATTCCGCCCGGTGTCTCCTGTATTCCACCTGGTGTCTATTCAGCCCGGGGTCTGCTGTATTCCGCCCCCTATCTGCTGTAATCCCCCCAGTGTCTGCTGTAATCCGCCCACTGTCTGCTGTATTCCCCCATGTCTGCTGTATTCCACACGGTGTCTGCTATATTCCACCCCCATGTCTGCTGTATTCTGCCCGTTGTCTCCTGTAATCCGTCCACTGTCAGCTGTATTCTGCCCACTGTCTGCTGTATTCCACCCACACTCTGCTGTATTCCGCCCCGTGTCTGCTGTATTCCGCCCGGTGTCTGCAGTACTCCGCCCACTGTCTGCTGTATTCTGCCCACTGTCTGCTGTATTCTGCATGGTGTCTGCTGTATTCCACCCCCTGTCTGCTGTATTCCCCCATGTCTGCTGTATTCCGCCCC